ATTATGAACGGAGGGGGTATTATATTTTCACCTCAAACTCATAAATATCAACAATAGTGTTTCATATATATTAACCCTTCACAACATGAATGAGCATGTTGGTCATATTCCAAATATGTGCATTCATTGTTGAGAAAGAAGTGAGTGTGGTGTGATGGAAATGACTTAATGATGCCAAAGGTTGTCCGGCCTTTTCATATTTAAATTGCTTAAAAATGAGTACACATTTGAAAGTCACTGTTTCTTCCTAATAATTTTACCTTACCAGATGAGAAGGTTAAGGACCACCTGATCATACATTGTGGTTAATAGCAATCTCTGGTAGGGAGGAGTTATATATTCTTTACTTCTATTTATTGAGAATAACTGAACAAAATCTTTGTCATTTTATTTATTTTTAGGATTTCTGTTCCCATGCATCCCTTTTGAAATGTCTTTTGCTACCTTCTTGTGAAGAAAAATGACACTGTTTTAGCTATACTGATAAACTAGTGTTAATCCCGTGCTTCGCACGGGCTCATATACATTCTAAATTTTTGACATTCTATAAATATAATTTTTTATTTTAAATGAATATTTTTTCACTCGTATATTGTTTAAATAAAAGGTATACTTTAAATATTGATGTACATTCATTAAAAATTCTATAACTATTTTATTATAAAAAAATTACATTAAATAAAACATAAAAATGCCAAAATCAATTTAATAACTTTGAAGGTGAAATGTTTTTTCATTTTTCTGAAAGTGAAATATATTTAAATTAATAATAAAGAGTTATACATACTCTTCTTTAAAATGTTACAATCAATATGCATATTTAAAATATAGAATATATTTTACAATGCTGAAATATAGGTTTATAGAATTGTTAGAAAATGTTAAAATTTTATATAAAAAATTATCAAAGTAACGTTGTTTAATGCTAAAAAATAATATTCATTTAATATAATACAATAAAATATATTAAAATATCTTTTAAAAAAGAAGCTTAATGAACCAATGAAAAGCCTCCATCTCATTAATTAGTGTACATGTGGATGTACATGTGGCATGCCACATGTTAACACTACAACAACTAAACTCTATTTTACATATATATATAGGATGGTGAACTAGATCAAAATGATACATAAAACTTTGTTTGCATGTTTCTATGAAATTTTTGGTAGTAAATGAAGCATTGCATCAAGGGTCAACTGGAAACAACTTTAAGGGACAAGATTACATACATTTTGATCCCAAAACCCAAACGGAGTAGGATTGTATTGGGTTTCGGTGTTGTTGTTGCTATGAAGAAAAATAGGCTTATAGCACAAAAGTGCCCCTTTATCTTTCCTTTTTATTGCTAAATTTTTCTAGTATCTTTTATTTTCTACATTTTTAAATGCTCATCACCATGCTAATTCTAAGCATTTGCTTATCATCCTAGGTTGAGAAAAAATGTTTAGCAATGTTTAGTTAACAATCTAAACCAAACCAAACAATTGACTACTTTTTCCTCATGCATAGCACCCACCCAAACAATGTCTAGCATTTAGATTCATCCTTCCATTACTACTTGAGTATTTGACGCTTATATCCCTCCGAATTCAAACTAGTTTCCACATTGCCTTATGCTTCTGCTGCAGATAGTTGGGACAATGACAGCAGAACAGCGCAAAGTTCTTCTCTTCTTCTGGACATCCATAAAGTTCTTGCCCATAGAGGGGTTCAGCGGATTGGGCTCAAGGCTTTGCATCTACAGAAGCTCAGAGCCGCCCGACCACCTCCCATCCTCACACACGTGCTTCTACCGCCTCTGCTTCCCTCCCTACCCATCCATGTCTGTCATGCAGAGCCGCTTTGACATCATCACCCAGGAGCATGTTGGCTGCAGCTTTGGGACTTGGTGAATGTGAGATCCCCAATCCTTTGTGTACATTAAGACATATATTAGGAGGGCAATCTTCATAGTTTATTGGAAGTGGACTTGTTCTAAGAAGGTGCAATTCCATTCTGTTTACATATTTATTTTTTTTAAATTATGAATTATTTCTGACTGGGCTTTTATTTCCCATCACTTTTTTTTGCTGTACAGGGTTATTATTAGTGTGTTGTGTATATATAAATATAAATATTTATATGCTTTTGTTGGCTTAATATCCTTTATTGTCTCAATGGGTATAAACCATTGGAGGCAATAATATCTTCTCATTTGGTCTATATTTTTTTGTTTGATTTAATAAATAGACATTTTCTTTTCTGTGTGTTAGAACTTTTACTAATATCAATACTAGTATTAATCCTGTGTTTCGCACGGGCTCACATATATTTTAAATTTTGACATCTAAAAATTTAAATATCAGTGATTTTAAATTCTTTAATAATGATATATGATGTGTTTGATAAATAATTTCTAACTATAAAATATCTCATTTGAGAAAAAAGTTTTAGTTTTAATATTGATGTACATGCATCAAAATTTATATAAATCTTTATTTTGAGATGTAATAAAAGGGAAAATAATGAATAGTTTATTAAAAGCCACGTCAAGCTTTCTTTTTTAAAAGATTAATAAAGTTTATAAAATCTTTTTTTAAATCAAACAGGATAAACATATTGGGATTAGATTATTCTTATTATAATTTTTAAATTTTATTTCTTGTGTAAATGTTATGAGCACCATTTTTCAGTATTATTTATTCTATTGATATGTATTGATTGTTCATATTTTCTTTCTCAAGTTATTAAAACATAAAGAGTCCATTTTTTCGAACTTGTGACGTCTCATTCAGGGAAATCAAAGTTATGTCGCTCGATCATAATTTTGTTTGTGATGTTATGGACACTATTTATTTAAGGAATATTACGAAAACCATTAATTTAAAATTAAATTCTTATCTATTTTTCAGTTTATTTTAAGAAAACTCCTATTTATTTTAAATTATCTTATTGAAAATAAACTCATATGCTCAGTAGTTAACAATTTTGAATTTTTTTTATCCAGGCAATGTAGGAAATATTCAGTAGCAATTCAGCTTGCTAACTAGGTAGTTCGGGTAACAGTTATTTTAGATCCCCTTCCATAACTTTAGAATCAAACACCTCCTCCCTTTTCCACACCTTAGGTGAAGGAAAAAAAAGATGATCCACATCCTTAAATGTTCCCTTAAACACAATTAGATGGTCACTAAGAGAAGATAAATTGAATTTTAATTATAAATTAGTGACAAAAAATGGAGCATGTACTTGGTACACCCTAAACCATAAGTAAGGTACCGTATGGTACACGACATTCAAACTATGAAATTAGAATTGAAGACTTCAATTCCAATTCTCATTACAGTACAAAAATTATGTGAATTTAGAATTGGTAGTGCAAAAAATGAATTGGAATTGGTGAATTCAATTTTATGAAATTAAATCCCAATAAATTTTAATTTCAATTTAATTCAAATTCTATCACTATCTTGTGTGAACTAGGAAGGCACATAAGACCGTTCGCCTGTCCGGTACAAGCCAAAGCCCCATCCCCTGGTCAGGTCAAGATCAGATCAACCAACAGGACTCTTTAAAAATCTACTGGTAGAAAAATCGGAATCTCATTGGAAATTGTGGATCTCGTCCCAGGGCATCTCCATCTCTTCAAGCCCGTAGTTTTCTTCCTCTGTTTCAATTCACTAATGATTTGGATCGGTGTACGCGTTCAAGCTGAGAATGCCAGAATCGCTAGAGGTAATTCGATTAGTACGCAAACCCTTCTTTCCTATATATATGTTTTTATTTATCGAATTTGAATGAACGAAACCCAGATTTTTATGCTCGTGGCGGCGGCGGCGGGGAACCAGACATTTGAATTTGATGATTAGAACCCTTAACCCTTGAGCCCTAAATCCGTGATTTTATTTCAATTGAATTTTCATGAATAAAACTCTGATACAATTTCTTTTTCTTTTTCTTTTGTTTTTGAGATAGAATGTTCTAATTTGATTCGATTAGAGCCCTCGTTGATGTTTGTTCTTGTTCTTGTAGAACGAGCCAACGCGCAGCCTTATGTTCTTGTTGTAAGACGTATGGCTGGTGCTGATGCTGAAATTCTTTTTGCTCAAGGTAATAGCTGCTCAAGCTTAGCTACTGTGTGTCTGGTTAGTTTGTTTGGGTGTTAAAGTTCAATTTGTTTTCAGATCCAAAGAAGGAGGGTTTGAGATTCGATTATTTTTTCATAAAAATTGGACTGCTTTGTATAGTCTTTAACTATTGGGGCATTTATTCTTGAAGGATAGATCGAATAGTTAAGAGTAAATTCTATAAAAGGTCTCTAGTTATACTTTGTTTTACATATTTAGTCCATACATATCAAATATATATAATTTAGTCCTCAATTATTATATTATTTTCCACGAATAGTTCTTTGTTAACATTTTCGTTAAAAACGTGGATAAAATTGTAAATGCATGCTCCTCTCTCTCCTCAATCAAGCTTCCTCCCTCCTCTCGCACTCCTTTCTCAAATTCATCATTGAGTTTGAAGCTCTAAACCCAAAACCGAAACGATCACTCCTCTCTCAATTGTTCATCTTCCGGGTGTAATCCAAAATTGAAACCAATAACCTTTGTGGATGAGTTTTATGATACTCTCAGGAAATTGCAAAGAAAACAAACCTTAAAACTCATCGATGAAGGTTACTAGTTTCGATTTTGGACTCCATCAAGAAGACAAACAATTGAGAGAGGAGTGATGATTTTGGTTTTGGGTTCAAAGCCATTATGTAAAACGAAATATAACCGGGGACCTTTTATGGAATTCACTCAATACTTAATGATATATAAGACTGGAATATGGAGGTGTTTTTTGAATATCCTCCCGGTCAGTCGGTCAGAACATGTTAATTGAACAAGATAGTTGATGATGAACTGATTTTGCTAACATATTGAATAACCCCATAGTAATTACTAATTTTAGGAAATGCAAATTATTTGGATCGTTTGTGTTAATTTCCTTGTTTGCCAAACTTCTTATCTTGTTGAGTTCATGGTATACTGAATCTTTTCTATTGTGGAGCAATATTAGCATCAAACATTGGATACAATAATTTACACATTCCCTTGTATCCATATTTTGTCCCTCTTCCCAGCTTCGCCTACTCAAGTGAAAGACGGTTCCCCGGTTTCTGCTCCAACTTCACTCACTACTAGTCATGGTTGCTGGTCTCACGCCAAGTCATTGTTGGCCGTAAGTTTTTTTGTTTTGTTTTCACATCATGATATTTTCCAACACTTTTCATGCCTCTATTTGGATGTCATTGGTGGGAAACCTTTGAAATCTTGGTTCTTCATGGGGCAATCTTAGGTGCATGGGTAGAAATTTGTGTCAACCTTCGTTCTATTTTCAACGCGGCCTATGCTTTAAAAGTGCCCCTATGTTGTGAGGTGTAAGGCTCTCATCTCTTATCATCTGTATTTGCCTCTTCTTTTCATTGCAGTGCTTGGATATGCAAAGGGACTACAAAAACTGCAAATCCTATTTTGACACCTTGAGGGAATGTCTAAAGACTAAAGAGACCTGAGTCCGCTGCTAGTGGGTGAAATAGGCTGTTTCAATATAAGTTGCTAATTTGCTATTTGCTTATATGAACTTAACCAGGGTCAAGATGATGAATTATTTTGGGCAATACTGAGAGCTTGTTAATGTACAAGCTTTGTTATTAAAAAAACAGCTAATTGTAAATTCTCTTGAAGCTAGATCACTTTGGGTCCGTTTGGTATACAAGATTTGACGGAATTGGAATTTAATTGGAATTGAAATTCCATGGAGTTCAATTCAATTGAATTGAATTTTCCATTTCCAATTCATTTTTTGCATCACCAGTTCTAAATCCACATATTTTTGTGCTACCAAACACTATAATTGGAATTGAAGTTCTTAATTCCAATTTCATAGTTTGAATCTTATGTATCAAATGGGTACTTTATATTCGTTGGCCTTGGAAGATTGAGGTCTCCCTGATCTGGGGTATCCTTTACATGGGAGAGAAGTAGGGCGAATGAATTGTGGCTAGTAGGGTGTGGTGCTCAGTTTCCCTGGGCTGACTTCCCACTTAGTGAAAATTTTAAAAACAATCATCAAAACCACACTAGTATTTTAATGATTCATACTGCATAACATGATATGTTAGTCTAATCAAAAAATGCACAGAATTTGTGTTATTGTAAAGCATCACATTAGAATAAAATGTTGGTGCATGTCTTTGTCGTATAAAATGAAATAAAATTTTTATTGTGCATCATCTACCGTTTGGCCATTTATTTTTAGGCCATAGTTTCATTTTTATTTTATTTTTTATAAAATTCTAGCGGCATCTTACTGCAATCAGGGGTGGGCACGGGCCAGTCTGAGCTAAGATTTGTATAAACCGATTCGGCTTGTTTTTTTAAAACGATCTGAGCTGGAATAGGTTTTATTAATTTAGTTTTAATAGATTTTTATTTAAAATATAAAAAATAAAGGTTTGAAGCACCAGTTTGAAGTCTTGGAGCTTCAAACCCATTTTTAGTTATAATTTATAAAGACTAGATGGTAGAAGTGAAAGACTAACTATTTATCATTGTCTAAAAATGAACATCAAATTGGGACCGACGAAACATGCAAATTGGTCATCATATCAAAAATTTGACACTACTTGCATCATTTCATGAGTGGAAAAAAAAATAGAACCATATACTCCGTAGTAAAGTAATTGATATCTCACTACATAATACATATCTTGACCCTAAAAGCTTCACATAAGCAAATACCAACTTGTTTAGAAGTTTGAACAAACCAACATGGCCCCCTTCAAGTCGTGGAAGCGTGAAGTTTGAACACACCAACACGGCCCCTTTCAAGTCATGGAAGTGGACTCAACTCCCAATGCTAACACATTTCATCAAGGCATCAAAAGAGAATTTACAATTCTTGTGATCATTGTGCATATTCAGGCACTACAATTAAAGAGGTAAAACATTCAGTTAGTACTGAAGCCACATACGTGGTTTAAAAAGATGAGAGCCACATCATGACAGTTTAGACATATGTGCCAAGAGGCATGGTGTGGACCTAGAGAATATTAGATAAAGTCCCATTTCATAACTTGTACACAATACCATACTTTAATTCAAACACCATCAAATAAGTACTCCCTCCATTGCATAAAAAGGTTTCACCTTTGACTCGGCACGAAGGATATAAAAAATATAAAATTGTACAATTGAAAGTGATACAAAGGAGAAAAATTATACGGGTTACAAAATTGTTTCCTAAAGTATAAAGTGGAATTCTGGAAAATTTTTTTTGAACATATGAAAAAGGAAATGTAAAACCTTTTTATGAGATGGATGAAGTATATAACATTCCAACCCAGTATTAAAACACTTTAAACGATATGATACTACCAACCTAGTAAAATCCCACAAAGATGTTCTTTAGAGGTGGGGATGAAACCAGACCTTACCCCTACTTTAAAAAGTAGAGACTCTTTTAGAAAGACCCCGATGCAATTTCCAAAGACAAATATTAGTACAAAACAAATAAATGAAAATAAAAAACAGACTTGACAAACCACAACACATTTAATAAATCCTAGTATCCCTACACACAAAGATTTGAAGATGTGAACAAAGCAAAAGAGAACTAGATCATTCAATTAAAATCTGTTAACAATTCTAGAGCTTGAAGATCTAATGAAATGAAAGGAAACACTAAAAGAAAAACTAAAATAGTGCTACACACACTGAAAATAAAAAAAATTAAAATAAAATAAAAATGCAGAGAAACAAAAAAATGGTCAACCATCAAAGATAATGATTGAGAAGCAAGGAAAAAAAACTTGTAGCTCTTGAATAAGAAAAATAAAAGTGATGGATATCTTTAAACTTAAGGAGAAAAATAATGGCCTGTTTTGTCAAGAAAAAAAACCTAATCCTTCAAGCACAAGAAATGTGTCTTAGGACTCACCTGCCTCACGACTCAAATCATATAGCCTTACTGTGAAGGCGTGCTGTTAAAAGCAAAGACCGCACAACAAATAGAGCCTAGAGAATAATAAACTGACAAATTTCTGCCCACACATAAGATTGCCTATTGAAGAACCAAGATTTCAAAGGTTTCCTACTGCCTATAAAGATGTTTACCAACGACATCCAAATAGAGTATAGACAATGGATAAATGTTGGAAAATATCCAGCTTTGAAAAGAAAAGAACACTTACATCCATCAACGACTTGGCATGAGACCGGCAAAGATCATTAACAATATCAGCATGTGAGGTTGGAGCAGCAATCAGGGAACCATCATCCCCTTGAGTAGGTTTAGCTGCACAGAGGGACAAAATATGGATGTAAAGCTATGTGTATATTGCTGCATCCGTTGTTTGACGCTAATATTGCTCTACGATATAAGAGCTTCAGCATCCATGAACTCAACAAGATAAGAAATTTTGGCAGGCATGGAAATAAACACAAACAATCAGAACTGGCATTTTCTACAATAAGTAATTACAATGGAACATTTCAATACATTAGCATGACTATCAACTATCACATTCAATTATCATGTTGTGACAGGGATGAAATTTAAAATGTCCCCTCCATGTTCTTGCCTTATATGTCAATTGATACCATTAATTGTTTGATCATCATTCGAGAACATATACTCCAATAGTTAAAGGCTAAACAAACCAGTTCACTTTTTTGAATAGTGATTGAAACTCAAAACCTCAAATTTTTAATACAAATTGAACTTATACACCTAAACATATTAATCAAGCATATAACAGCTCTGCTTATGCAGCTTTTACCTTGAGCATTAGCTCCGGCTAGAGCTTGAGCTACAACACCTTGATCATAACCAACATGAATAATAGCACACCGTTTAGCAAAAACATCACGCCTTTGTCTTTCTACAAGAACAGAAACAAACAAACCTCAACGAGCGTCCTAATCAATAAAACTAGGACATTTTATCCCCAAAAAATAGAAAAATCAGGGTTTTAATCATTAAAATTTGATTCTTATAAAATAGTGGATTTAGGGTTCTATGCATCTGGGGATGTTTTTTTTTTTCGAGAAGTGTTTGCGATTTACCTGAAGAAACAGAAGCCCCCATTTAGGTGAATGACAGAACGCGAACAACCGGCTTGAAGACAGGGATATGATCTAGAACAAACGAGATCACAGGAGAGAGACGGAGAGGAAGAAAGAGATTTTAAAGGAGAGCAGTTGGGACGGTCTTGGGCCTGACTAGATTTTACCCGTGCGTAGGTAAGTAAAAATTTCACAAAATAAAATTTTTGTATACAAACTTAAATAAAACTAAATGCTATTGACTTGGTTTTTTAGAATTCCTATTCCTATATATATATATATCATCATTATCATTATATATATAATATTTGAGAGTTTGATGCTTAGAATGTTGACATTTGGCATTACTTAAGTGTGACAAGTGTCTCCTCCTCAAGAACAAAAATTAAAAGCATCTTTCACCTATATAGAAACAATTCTGAATTTTTCCTTAAAAAAAAACAATCGTAAATCTTTCAAAACAACCAGAAATTTTCCTAGCCTCACCGAAGGAAACTATCGATAATCAGCGAAATTTTTGGTCGATCCCCTCTCTCAAGTACGTCGTCTCTTCCTCACCAAATGAAACTCCTGAAGATACCATTTCCCTTAGGCCGATCTCTTTTAATCGAGATCCAAAATACCAAAATTTAGATTCAAAATTCAATTTCGAGGTTCAATGTGAAAATTTAGATCTTGCTGTTAGTTGCAAATTTTGTTACCTTTATCCCCATCATGTATTTCAAACTTGAATCGTATTTGGAATATGCTGCTACAGAATGGTATAGAGCTCCAGATTTGTGCAGTTCATTTTTTTCCAAGGTATACTTTTGAAAATGTATATGTGATTTTCGTATTGTTTCCCCGCACACTAAATTTTGGATGCTACATTTCAGTAAGTCTTGGCAATGCCTTTAGGGATGTGATACACGCATTTTGTGGATTATTTTTTCTAGATTTCTATTTCTTATTAATCTATGAATTACATGAACATATGAACAGATGCACATAAATTTGATATTGCTCGTGCATTAAGAAATTTATGTAGTCTACTTCTGGAATTGATATATGGAGCATTGGGTGTAAATTTGTTGAGGGGCTTTTTCACATTTTGGTCAGCTTTATACGGAGAATATGGTAAATCTTGAGCAATGGGAGATGGAATATGCCAAATCTTGAGAAGATCCGTTTGAAAATGGTTTGTTTCCCAAAGTCATATGCAATTTTATACTCTCTCTTTGTGTTCTTCCCAATTTTTGTGTTTCTTATTTGTGTGTTACGAAAATTCAAGTATGTTTCTTCAAAAAAAAGTTTGTTACATTCATTCTGAACCGCTGACAATTGAGATTATTTGACTTCCATAAATTGGTAATCTTTAATTTTGGTAACATGTGGTCTAATTACATGTTGTGATTGCCCCTAAATCATGTGCTTGACTTCCAAGATTATAAATAAATTCTTATTTGAGAACATATTCCTAACCAATAATATTGTAGCCTCTAATCGATATGTCTTTCTTTTTCCATGGCCAAATTGTTCATCCTTTGTCGAAGATCAACCCTACCGCTGAGTGTTGGAGGATTATGGTTCGCGTAGTAATGTTATATACATTATCCGTATTTGGTGAAGATAAAACAAAAAACAATCCAGATGGTCTTCATGGATAAACATGTAAGTTTGAAAACTCATTGTCCATTGTATAATATTTTTAAACATACCTCCTATTTCCAGAATGACATTTTATATTACTTGATGGTTTATTTAATGTTAATTTTTCTGACAAATTGTAACTCACGGGGATTGCTTCTTTAAATTATATTTAATTTAAACATATACATGTGTAGCATGTTAATTTCTCTGAGAAATTGTATCTTGGAGGGGTTGCTTCTTGATATTAAATTTAATTTAAATGTATACAAATGTGAAGTAAAACTCAATGTTTAACATATAAACAAATGCTACAAATAGAACTGGATAAATAATTTTTACAATTTAGTAGATTTAAAATTTTTACAGTTAGGGATATTATGATCCCAAGCTATTCATTTAGACATGGTATTTATAAAAAAAGATATCTACCAATGTTAGTTTGTGTTAATTTCTCCCAAGTGGTTGCTTCAAATGTTACTTGGGACTATATGATGCCAAAGTATTGCTTTTGTTAACTTCTTATAGTCTTTTAATCCTTTTAATTTATTATAGTCTTTTAATCCTTTTATTTAAGATTTAAGAAAAGATTTAATGCTAGAACTTTTGGCATTATTTTTTGTCAACATTTATTACTTTTTCAAAATATTTCAGACACCATGGGGATGCTAATTGCTTTAGGCAAGGAGAAAGATATAGTGAAAGAGTCAAGAAGAACAAAGATGATTTTGATCACAATAGAGGTAGCGGGGTACACTAATTTTATTTCACTTTTATAGCAAAATACGTCATATATTAGATCAATACTCCGGAGTACATGTTAACTACGGAGTATTTTTTTATTTGACAATTGCGTATGACATTGGGTGTTACTCTATTTGGGGAGCATGTTGACATGGTGAAAAGATTTATTCAAAACCAAGAAACCAATTGTTGGAACACTCTGTGATTGTTGCTCAGTATACAAAAGTGAAAACTTTTCAAGGTATTAGTAATTCTGATTGTCCATCTTGACGTTTTTTCGGGTCAGTTGTGTTTTTGACACATTTTTTAAAGTAAAGTGTCATGTTTCTAATTTTTCCTATAAGTTCTTCCTATTTATCTTTCTCAATAGTCAAGAAGTGAAGCGATAACATACACCATATGTCCCATAAAGATGAGTACATTTTGACTAAAGTAGAAATTAAGGAAGAAATAATTTTGTGTTGACTTACCAAAAATATCCTTGATGTGATGAGTAAAAGTATGATGTGATGTGTAGATTATTAGAAAAAAGGTATAATGTGATATGTAGTGCTTGAAAAACTTAGAGGTAAAAGTGGGTTTTTAATAAAAATTGGTAAAAGATTATGCTAAACAATTTCTTTGAAACGTGTAAAACATCTACAATATTTATGTTTGACAACTAAAAACGAATGTATAACACATCAAAATTGTTTTTAACACTTTTTGTCCAATTTGTATATTAATGTAAAGAAAAAAATTCTTTCGGATGGAAGTTTTGAAAAATCAAAAGAGTTTGATGACCGATGACATGGGATCTTTTGAAAAATCAAAAGAATTTTGAAAAATTCTTTGAAAAGGGTTTGATAACAAAGAGTTTGATGACTATTTGATAACAAAGGGTTTGATAAAAATTCTTTGAAAAATTCTTTGAAAAGGGTTTGATGACAATTCTAGAGAAGATAAATTTCAATAGTCTTATGTTTTGCTATGAATATTAATAAAAATCAAAATCAAATACTGTTATCAAATATGTTTTACTCATTTCCACGAAAAAAAAGTCGATATTACTCATGGTTAACTTTATGCTGCTATTTTGCGAGTGGATACAAAGACCGTATTACTCCGCGTAAGAGAAGATAAGAAAAAACATATTCTAATAACTTAGACATTATTCTTCTCACTAATCATTATTAGGTCCTATTTAAAGAATAAACAAATTTATGTTCTATATTGGGAAGTGACTTATGTTATAGTCCTATTTAATACAAATTTCACGTTTTAATGCGTATTCTAAAATTTAGGTAAAAAAGGAATAATGACTTAATTGAACTTCTTTACGAGTCTTATTCACTTCAGTTAAGTACATATATTTGCTGCATGATGCATAACATTATTGAACATTTAAGTTTATTTATAAAATAATTAGCGGATGTCGTTAAAAGCAAAAGAAAAGTAATATTAAATTATATATACCAAAAAGGAGTTAAATCAAAGACCTTTGGTAGTAAGATAAATGAAAGAGAACTTGGAGCGTTGAGTAGTTATTGAAACTGTGTTTTTTTCCTTTCACATAACTCATGATACGCCTAAAGTTTATTTGTTCACGCCGATAACCTTCAGTCACTAATTGAGTAGATGAACATTCAAAATATAGAGTAAATAATTGGTGTAAATTACTCCGTATTTTATTTTACTCGGTGTATGATTTAAAATTATTTTTTGCCAAAAAACTTACAAGATTTTAACAATCCCAACAAAAGGACTTCTTAAAAAAGAACAATATATAGATACATAAACTGAGGACTGAAACTCTAATGTATTTGATCCATATTTTTAAGAAAGTGATATTGTTTACTAAATAATCTGATAACTTTAATGAAGTTTAATTCTCAAATTTTTTAAATTCATTGTTTAATTTAAAAAGATATTTGTTGTTAATTTTACTTTTTATCAATATTAACTAAAATCAATTATTTAACATTAGAAATGCCAATCGTGCATACTAGTTAAGTAAAAACAACAAGGATAGGAATATATAAAGCCATGTACACAACCAATATGGCCTTGAATGATCCCAATACCAAAAATCAAAAACAGGGGTAAGAGTGTAAGACCTGAATGATCCCAGCACTGGTCAAACAACCGTTACAAAACACTAAAGAAAAAGGAAAAAAAATCCAATTCACACGCCCAGAGAAGTGGGATGGACATTGTCCACAAACACATTCTTCTTGGGGAAGACTGGGTCCTTCAACTCAGATTGTAAAAGAAACAATAGCCCTGTTGTGGCGGAAACTCCAGAAACTAATAAAAACAGTAAATTATATGTTAGAAATAACAACTATAATTAAAATTATTTAAAATGCCAATAATACTTGCAGATTGTTCCAGCAATCAGAAGTTTTTTTGAAAACACTGAATTCCTTTCCACCACTTCTTTCAAACTGTCCAATCCAACTAACAAGTCTTGTTGGAATTTCATTGTATTTTTCTGAAAAAAATTAAATTTAAAAAAAATAAGTATCACAATAAATTTTTTTAAAGATATAAACATCAAAAACTATCACAAACCTGAAACTCAATTGAATTGGACAATCCATAGGCCAATATGAAATTTTTCTTTTTCAGTGACTGTATTTCATCTTCTAAGATCAAGAGCTTTTAAAAGCAAATTAAAAAGGGGATTAAGCTATACCTGGAGTTCATCCTCCATATCTCCAATGAGAAGAATCGCCTCTAAGGTCAGTTTTCCGTTTCGGCGCCTGGATTCAGTCGACTTCGCCCTAGGTTTCTCGCTACATCCGTTAATATTTCGTCTCTGTGTAGGAACGGAACTAAAGATACGGGCCCTTACATATTGGGCTACGGGTTTTTCATATACATATATGAAAGAAAAATTCGGCCTCTAAAATTCATGGGCCTGGCCCGGACGGACTGTTTGTCCTCCTATTGGGCGGGCTATTGAGCGGGCTATGGAAGATATAGCCTCTCGCCTCTTGAGAGAATAGATGGCGATGGTTTTAAGGCATGGGCCGCAGTAAAATATGAGATTTGGACCCATTTACCTTTCTTGCCAAACCAGATATAGAGCATTTGTTGATTAAGTTTAAAAGAACTTAATCAATTGAAACAAAACATAAACCCAAAAACATCACATTTAAAAAAGATGTACATGGAAGAGAATATAAAATTTGAATTAGAAAAGAGTTTAGTCATAATTAAAAAAAATCATTAGAGTAAACACAAATATGATCTCCCCAAAAATAATCCAACTCGATGAAATAAAGATCTATAAAACTATGGGTAAAAATAAATTGTAACAAAAAAATAAAACACAAATCAAATAACAAAGTTGAGGAACTTGGAAAACAATATAATATTCAATTAGATAGGTGTTTAGTCATAATTAGATAGAATCATCACACCCAACCTTGAAATAAACATTCAAGCCGAATAAGATCTAATTAAACATAATAGAAATGAAGTGTAACAAAAATATGATCCAAATTGAGTGATAAAAAATTCATGACATACAAATAAAATCATTCAACATAAATAAAAGATAAAATATGATCCAAATTGAGTAACATGGAATATAAATTCATAACACATAGGGAAAAAATAAATTTTACAAAAAAACCACAAAAGTAATCCATAAAAAATGAATTTCTTGGCTGTGTGGTCATAAATTGTGTGATATAAAAATAGATCTATAAAACATATGGCAAGAAAAATTGTTTAAAAAAACACGAAAAATAATACATTGAAAATGAAGATCTTGGTTGTGTAATCAAAAATTGATACAATCAACAAAAAAATCTTTGAAAAAATCACAAAACACAAATAAAATCGCCCGGCGACTAGTCGGTGGAAAACCGAACGGCTCACGGGTAAGCCGCGCCGTGCCGAAGAGTTTTAGACCATCTGCGGCAAACGGACGGCGTCGGTTTCGGCGGAGCCGAGGGGGCGAAAACCGGAAAAGACGCTAGATCTATAGAAGAGAGAGAAGGGAGAGAGATGAGTTTCAAAGTACAGCAGTTGTCAGACACGGCGGATCTATCAATTTATAGTACTACATTTCTAGGTTTTTCTCTCCATCTAACGGCCCAAATTAAAACTTTACATCTAAAGGCTACCATTCTTTTCTCTTCCCCATTATTTACATCAATTATGCTAGAGGCAAACTAAAAGTATTTTTTAAGTTGTATTCTAAAAAAATGTACTACTAGTAAATTTTAAGAGTGTATATTGGCAGAAAATATTAGTTTAATTAAATAAAATTACATTGATTTTTTTTAATGTAAATAATCATAATAACATCACACTAGCACAAAATGACGGTACATGCCTTTGAAATACAAAATGAGTACAAATTTTGGTGTACAAATAGTTTAATCATATTTGCAAAAAAAAATTTAAAAATATCTTTTTTAAAAACGGTAAAATTTGAAGTCAAAGACAAAAATTAAAAATGGGAAAAGTCAAACTGAGAAGAAAGTTTTAGGACGGATGGAGTATTATTTGGATCTCTCGATAATTTTTGTTTGTTCATTATTTTGGTAAAACATTTGATAAAATAGAATATTTTTATCGCGTCTTATTTCGTAAAACTTTTGATCTATTTTTGAATGTGTAGTTTTTTATTTTTTACCAATTTGTTAATAAAATAATTTTAAAAAAAGATGATATTTTATACGGAGTACGTCGTTTGAAATTTTATTTACATGGTGGAGTATAAAATGATAGAGAGATAAAATATAAATATAATTGCGTCCAAAAGTACATAAAAAGTTTAACAAAACAAGATACAATGGTGATATATTATTTATTAAACGGGCAACTAAAATAAGTGAATAAACCAAATTTTCTCAAGAGACTAGAATAATAATTGTGTCATTCTTTTCATAAAAGGAATAGAATAAATTGTATATATTAATTCTTCTTCCTCTTTATAAATTTCGACCAAGTAATTTCATTCTTCTTAAACCAAATCTTAAAGAACAATTTGGAAAAAAATAATTTGAGACGAGAATATAAACGTAGTAAACTACTACGACCATGTTGTACTCAACTTATTTATTGATTTAATGTTATTTAAATTAGATCAAATCATTTCTGGTAAGGCCAGATCAAAAATAGCTTTAAACAAAACTATATTCATATCGGATCGGATCGAAACTTATTCGAATCAAATCAAAATCAATTGGATCAGGTGAAGTGTTTACGACCTAACTCTGTATCGAAAAGAAAAAATTACTTATATACAAATCATTTTATATGCAAAATATGTGTAACTGAAAATAAAACTAATATACTTTAAAATTATATTAGAAGACATACAAACTAGTTGTAACAAGACTAAATTATTTTATCACATGGACAAGAAAATAGGTCAGCAAAATAAATAAAATTTGATTCTGTAAATAATGAATGTAAAGATAATTCCTCTACAGATGTAATACTCCCTCCGTCCCTAAATAGATTACAATCTTTTTTCTCTCTCCTCTCGATAACTTTTGTTTGTTTACGCGATTTCATCAAGTATTTGATAAAATAAAATATTCTTGTCACATCTTGTTTTGTAGAACTTTTGACTTAGTTTTTTAATATGTAATTTTTATACCTTATTGATATACCAATTTTTAAATAAAATGATTTCAAAAAGTAGGAAATTTTACTCCGTAACCCGCAATTTGTAATCAAATTGGGGACGGAGGGAGTATTATACTCTATTTATCCTAAAATTTACTTCCAAGCTTGACTCCCGCTCTAAAACTATTTGAACAATAACCACATATAAAAAAACATTAAATTTTTGTATAAGTTTGATATCAATATATTTATTTTGAACCATAGTTTTGAAATCCATACTTTATTTAAAAATCCATGGATTCTCAATTTCGTTTTCCCGCCCATTTGGTGTTCCACCAAAAATGGTAATTGTTCACTCCATATGGTAATTACTCAATTAAAATGGAGTTACTAATGGTAGAGATGTTGAACATTAATGCAGCGAACCAAATTTGGACAGATTGTTCATACCATAGCTTGCATAAACGAAATTAGAAATTAAAATACGCATAGTAGTTTAATTATTTGGCCTTGTTGTTTTCCTTCTATTTTAAGTATGTTTTCAATTTTATTTAAATGTTACACCGTTTAAATATTTAAATTAAATTAATTTAAATAGTAGTGAACCATTGGGGAATTAAAGTATGGAAATAAATTACACTACCATTTAAATATTAAAATAAAAATAAAAAACTTTTAATTAATAAAGTATGAGCGGGATTAAAATGATTTATTTCAAAAAACTACAAATTAATTATATATTACAATTTACAAGCACGGACGTGTAAAAATGGTAAGTTTTTTTAAAATAGATTAGAAAATATATATGGTACGGTAAGTAAATGATAACATTTAAATACAAGAATAAAAAAACTACAAATTAACATTAATACTATAATTTACAAGAATGGAAACATTTTAAAATGACAAGTGTTCTAATTAGAAAATTAGAAACTAAATAGGTATGGTACGGTAAGCAATTGGCACCATTTAAAAACGAAAATAAAATAAAGGGTAAGTGTTATAAAATAAATTAGGTAAGTGTTCTAAAAAAAGAGAACATAAAATATATCTAAAAATGATAATTGTTCTAAAATAAATTAGAAAATAATGTGGTTTGGTAAGTAATTAGTACGATTTAAATACGAAAATAAATAAAAAAACTGCAAAATTAATATTAATAATATAGTTTATAAACATGAAAATGTTTTGAAAAAAAGTAAGTGTTCTAATTAGAAAATTAGAAAATAAATACAGTACACTATGTCACCACAATAAGCAAATGGTACCATTTAAACACAAAAACAAAATAAATGGTAAGTGTTCTAAAATAAATTAGGTAAGTTTTCTAAAATATACTCCGCAATAGAGAATAAATACGGTACGGTAAGTAAATGATACCATTTAAATACAAAACTAAAATAGAAAACTGTAAATTTTTACTATCAATTAATACTACAATTTACAAGCATGGAAACATGTTAAAATGGTAAGTGTTATAAAATAAGTTTAAAGATAAATATGGTACATTAAGTAAATGGTATCATTTAAATGCAAAATTAAAACAATTATAAATTAATAGTATTAATACTATAAGCATGGAAACATGTAATAATGGTAAGTATTCTAAAATTATTATTATTAATTCTATAATTTACAAGCATGGATAAGTGTAAAAATGGTAAGTGATCTAAAATAAAATAGAAAATAAATACTATAGGGTAAGTAAATGGTATCATTTAAATACATAAAAAATACAAATTCCAAAATAGATACATTAATATGTTGAATTATCATTTAAATAAGTCAAATTATTGAATTATTGTCAGAGACAATATCTGAAACATGTTGAATTATTGTTATTACGGAAACCGGTATTTAGTCATGGGCAAGTGTTTGTTGCAGTTTCAAGAGTAATAAATCACAATGACTTGAAGATTCTGATATACAACGAAGTGAATGCTCACACGAATTATACGAGTGATGTAGTTTATAAATAAGTCTTTCGAAATTTGTAAATCATTTTAATTTTATACTTTAAAATAATGAAATTTCTATATTCCAGTATATACCAATTTATATTCCTAAAAATGATCTTAATTTAGTACCGTAATTATGACCCGTGCAACGCACGGGTGTGATACCAGTATTTTATATTCATTATATATATTTATATATAAATAGATTTATATTAATAGATAGAGTATTGCATTAATGATCATGAAAAAAAATCAAATGGAAATTTAATTATATTACGAATGGTGTAGTTATTATTATAATAGTAAAACAAATAATAGTTGTTTTCCCACTTTTTATTTTAGATTATTAAAAAATTATAATCATCATTCCTCTCTCTCTCTCACTCTCTCTCTGTTTATAAATTTAAATCAAAGAATTTCATTCTTCGACTCCTAAATTAAATTAAAATTATTTTTATAATCTTTATAATAATAATAATAATAATAAATAAAGTTATAATAATATTAATAAGATTAATAGTAAATACTGTTATAAATATTAATATTATAATTTTTAATAATAATAATAATAATTGATGGATATATGACTATATGAGTATATCCTCATATCGGCCCGAATTTTCGAAAGGGACAGATCAAAAGTTGACCGGTTACTTTCTTCAATTACAAAATGAGATAAACTCTTCGAAAGAGACGGGTCGAAAGTTGACCGGTCACTCTCCTCAAAAAGTGACCGATCACATTTTAGGCGATACCCGAAATGTCACTTAATGTCACGAAGGATGCTGCGAAAGACCAAAAGGTAGTCATGAGCTCAGAAAATGATCGGGCAACCTTTGAGGAAAGGTGAACGATCATATCAATTTACTTGACTAACATTTGTCCAAACTTCTAAGCATGGCGATCCACATCAAAGATTAGGGGACCATCCCGCCGCTCAACATTCACGAGGCAAGGAGTGGAAGAAATATTTGTCATCTTATAGGAATGATTGGACAGGGACATCCTCTCAAAATCATTTATTGAACAGTGTTTCTTGATTGTATTCATAGAGAGGCCATGATTGAATAGTAATTCTGTTATGTGCTCGTGGGCTTCTTATTTTGTTCATGGATGAACACGGAAAGGTCACGTATCCTCCTCTATAAATATGTTAATTGTGGATATAGGAGGGATCCAATCTTTGTCTCACTAAAAGTACACCTTTGAGACGAAATAAGAAATATAATTCATACTGAAAAGATTTACCCGGTCAATGTCATACTTTGTGTTTTGATTGTGTGTATTTTACTACGAGTAGAGTTTGTGTCCAAGTTAGACCAGGTCAACCTACCAAGTTATATTTAAACCATCAATAATAGTAATAAATAAAGTGATAACAGTAATGAACATATTACTAATAGTAATAATATATTAAAAATCGTAATAGTAACTAGGGGTGGACACGGTACGGTTCCGGGACGGTTCTGGTTCCGGAACCGGCGGCTCCGGTACCGCCACCCCTTGGTACCGGTACCGTGACCGGAACGGCCGGTACCGGTTCCGATACCCGGACCGGCGGTTCTGGTACCGCCCACCTATTTCTTCTCCGGTTTCCAGTCACCGACTCGCCGATTTTTTCTTCGATTGGCTATTGCTGCGGAATAATTTGGTGATGGAGATGAGAGCAGAGAGACTGAGGCGATGAATTTGGTCCGCAATCCAGACGCCGACTCGCCGATTTCTTCTTCTTCCTTCAATCGAGCGGCTGCGCGACGGACGGACTTCGCTGTGGGGTAGCAAATCTGGACAAAAAAAAAGGTACCGGAACCGGTACCGGTACCGCCGCTGCCGGTACCAAAAAATAAATACCGAAACCGGTGGGACGTCCCGGCTAGCAGTGACGGTGGCGGGTACCGGCGGTACCGTTGCCGGTCACGGTACAGTGCCGGTACCGTATCCACCCCTAATTATAATTGTAATAATTACAATAGCTATAATAATAATAAACCTTTGTAATAGTAATAATAAAAATAATATTAACAATAGTAATAATCATTATAATCATAATAATAATAATAACAGTAATGATACTATTAACAATAATACTAATAGTAATAATAGTAATAATAATAATAATAACAACTATAACAATTATAATAATAATTGTAATAAAAAGTATAAATATTAATAATAATAGTAATAATAATAAGAGTAATAGTAATAATAATTATAATTATAATAATATTAGTAAAAGTAGTGGTAGTGGTAATGATAACAATGATGATAATAATAAGAATAATAATTTTTGATTCGATATGATATGATTAAACCTAATCGCTTGCTGATATGATCTAGTTTGATCTAATTTGATCTAAGTTATTTTAAAAAATATGTTCATAAAAAATTATACAAAATTTAATTTTTAAAATCATAAATATTTTTTATACTAAAAGAGATTCACTTTTAAACTCTAAAATGGTATAATATCGAGAAAGATGAGTTTTATGACAAATATCTTAGAAGTGAAAGGAACATGTAGTGTTTAAGATTTTATATAATGTTTAATTGTAATATGTAATTTATTAGTATGTAATATGTAGATAAAATATGATAGCCTTGTAGAATACGAAGTAACATTTATATTTTCTAATATTTGGTTAATTTAATACCGAGTAATAACTATACATTCTCTTTACTACTCTTTCGTCTAACAATAAAGTTCACGTACACTATTAATAAAGTTAAACTTTTCTTCAATTTTTTGATTTATTTTTGTTACTTATTTGATAAAATAATATAGTCATGTAACATAAAATTTTGTAGATCTTTTTATGTAGTTTTTAAATATGTAACTTATATTTTTAATTTCATACTATTTTTCATTTTAAATGATTTGAAAAAAAACTTGAATAAAACATCGCATAACATGAACTTTAATTTCATACGGAAGGAGTATATAAATAAAAATTGATTACTGATTTTTTATTACTTTAAAATTATTAAATTTTGCAATAATTTTAAATTTAATTTAAACTAAATTTAAATTTATTTACACTAGATCTAATCAGATAAATAATGAGATCAAATCAAATGGAATGAAGTTAGAAAGAGATTAGATCTAAGCGAAAGAATAAGTGGAGGCTGGACTAGCACGTCTAGCCAGAGAAACCATGGCTGAGATGCTAAGGATACGCCTTCCAGCCAGAACGCCGGCCAACGCCCATCTCCGCCGCAATTCTTCGTCGGCCCTGTCGGAGTTCGCCCGTCATCATCTCGGTAACTCGATCCCGTTTTCCGAAGCCATCCACAATTGGAGCTGTCGACAGCACAAGATGAACTGCAGATTTAGGTTTTTTTGCCTCTTCAGTGGCAACAACAACAAAGAGGTATGCATCTCCTAAAATTTCTGCAAAACTAATTCATTTTTCATTCGGAATCTTTAAAAAAAATTCAGTTTTTTTGTTCCGGGCGCTAATTGTTGACTGAATTAAACTGGCACATCATTGCATATTTGCATTAACCTCCCCATTGGTTCAATTGGGTGTTACTTTGTAAGAAGTTTTGGGTAGTAATTGGATGAATGTCGGTTGGATTATACCATATTTCTTGTAATTATTGTTGTAATTGAAGTTTGTTGATTGAATTCCAACCAACAAGAACTGCAAAACTAAGGCTCACACGACTTCCCTACTACTCTAATCCTAGTTCTTCCGGCTTTCTTACCTAAGGTCATACTTTCAATGTATCAAATATAAATAAAAGTTGGTTGAATTCCACGGACCAATTCTATGCCAATTTGTGAGACTAGATTTGCATTTTGAAATTGTCCAAACTCTCCTAACAATTTGGACATGGCATTTGTAGTACTATATATCTCATTCTAGTCACATTTTACCTAGATAGAATCCATGGCACACTCTTGTGGGACTCTGTTGGGCCATTATTGTTGCTTTGATGTTGTTGTTGTAGAATCATCATGTATAAGTTGTCTGGAACTTTAACCTGTAATGGAAACTCAATAGGAAAGTCTGAACTCCTAAGTAAATGCAACATGTACCCTTCTTAATGTCCAAATGGGCATATACATAGCCAGTAAAGTAGTTGCATATGAACGAAATGATCCTTTATGCTTTGTTTGGATGGGTAAAGAAAATGGGGAAATAAGGAAATGATAGGAACAAAAATGAAGAGGAGAAAAAATTGAAAGAAAATGATTATTGTTTGGGTGAGTAGAATACGGAGAGAAAATGTGAAAAAAGAAAAATAGATGAGGCTCCCTTATTGGTTCATCCCATTTTCTTCCCAATTGTCGAGAGAAAAGTTTTTGTGTGGGTCCTACTACTGTTTCCCCTTCCTTTTCTTCCTTATCGAAACAAGAGAAAATGCCCGTGTTTTCTCTTCTCTCATTTTCTTTCTCTCCATTTTATCTTCAACACTATGTTTGGTTCAAGGAATTTGGTAGGAAAAGAAAAGAAAATGGTTTTCCCTCATTTTCCTTACCAAAATGGGAGGAATTTGGTTTTCCTTCCTCTTATTACATTTTGCCTTCTCTTTTTCTTTTCATTCCACTTTTCTTTTCTTTTCCTCTCTAACCAAACAAGAATATTATTTTCCTTCTCATTTTCCTTTCTTTTCCCTCTCAAATTCCTTGAACCAAACATAGTGTTAGTGTTTTTTTCATTAATTAATTGTCTTTTATTATTTTTTCAAATGAACGAAAGAAAGGAACAAGCCAGGAAAGCATTGGAAAATGCTCTTGGTGGAAAGAGAGCTGATTATGAGAAATGGGACAAAGAAATTAAGAGAAGGGAGGAAGCAAATGGAGGTGGCAATTCCGGAGGAGGCGGTGGCTGGTTTAGATGGTTTGGTGGTTCAGATGGGGACCATTTTTGGAGAGAATCACAGCAAGCAATCTTGACAATTCTAGCTATCATTGCCGTGGTGAGCCACCAGAGATCTCTAAGGGCATGTTTGGATGGAAGATTTGGGAAGGCTTAAAACTATATCTTGATAAATAGAATGCTTCTAAAAACCCACCAAAGGTTATGGAAATGGCATAACTTATAAGTCTTCTTTCCAAAATCTTCCCATCCATCCAAACAAAAAGGTACTAAGTAATATGGCTACTGATCTACTTTCTTTATCAGTAAGACCTTTTCCTTCTTTTGCAGTATCTGATAGTTGCCAAAGGTGAAGTGATGCTCGCCATTGTTTTCAACCCATTGTTGTTCACTTTGAGAGGAGCAAGGGACAGGGTCAGTTATGTAATTTCACACGCTAGAAACAAGGTAAGCCCTAAAACACCCCAGCTAGATTCAGACACCATGAAATATGAGGTGCCTTCCTCCCATGTTTCTTCTGCTAAAGAGAGAGTAATGAGAAAATGGGGGCAGTGAGTGGAGCTCAACGTAGTAGAAGCAATGAAAAAACTCCCAGATTTTGTAGCAAATGCTTTTGCATAGCTTAGAACTGCGATGTTCAAATTGTTGCCCAGGAAAATCTTGTGTACAATGTGGTATGATCAATGTTTAAAATATTCCGTTTCATCATATGTCGTCTAAATTTCTGTTTTCAGCGTGTTCGGCATTGATAGAGGGTAAAATTAAATATAATATTGTACTTTATATCAAGTAATTTTAAACTGTTTTTATATCATCAGAAATGTTTAAAATATGTTTCCTAATCAATGAATTTCTCATAAACACTCCATATTGTATTTCGAAGTTAGATTGAGTGCTTAAGTTTTGGTGAATATGGCTTTCAGTTTTTTTTCCCTTGTAATAAAATATAAGCATATGAATATAGCTGCTAAAGTTATTCTTCCCTTTCATCAAAGTGAAAAAGGAAATTAAACTAGTGGGAGTATATCTTTTGCTCCATGTCCTGTTGAAAACTTTTCCCTATGTTAAAAAAGTAATTTCAAATTATACTACATTGGGCTTAAATAAAAATTAATCTGTATATCGTATGCTAATACAAAAAAGCTTTCATTAAATTATCATGAAAAAATTGAAATAAAAATATTTCACTGTGTTAATATAAAAATGTAATTTTTATTTAATTAATGATCAAAATTATTCCGCTTGACTGAAAAAGTTTAACTAACATACTCGTATATTCTAGGACCTTCATAAAGTATAGGAAAAATAGAAAAGTAAAAAAATGAGTATTTAAAATTTATTTGAAAGAGAGAAAAAGGTCGTAGACCAAATATTATTTACTTTGTCGAGAAAGTATATAAATACGGAGTATAACATTGTTTTGCAATAAACTCCCTTCATCCCAAAGTTATCATCTTTGATTGGCTAATTTAATCTCTTTGACCACAAATTGTTAAAAAAATATTTGATTACTCTGTATAATGATAGTTCAATATAATAAGATTTATTTTATGATATAATTTTGATATGTTAAATTTTTTATACCATTTATTTATTTAAAACTATACGAGAATTTAGTTAATTATCAAAGAGGCCACCAAAATCAAATTAGTTATATGATTTTGAAGACAAAAGTTATAACAATAAGAAATAAAATGGTATTCCTAAATTCACTCTACTTCTTTTTGGTATATCATACCTTTTATAAAAAAATAGATAAAGAAGAAAATTTATTAGAATAACACTAAAACATAGTAAATTTTTCTATGTAGCGCTGCGAGTTTTAATTTCCATAACTACTATCTAATTAGTTAATTATTAATTTTTGTGTACTCTGTACTAAAATGCCTTTTATATGATTTTATATTTACTGTCACATCACTTTTACTTATTACGTATTCTTATTGAATTGGAATCAAATCAGATTAGACGATATCTGATTAGATCAGAAATAGCTTTAAATATATTCATATTCAAATCAAACCAGATCAGATAAGAACTTATTGCAATCATATCAGAACTAATCAGATCAGGTGAAGAAAACATGACCTAAATATAACTACATCTAGGGGTGTAAACGAACCGAATCGAAGCGAATACCGATATATTTGAATTTGTATTTGTTTAATTTTTTCGAATACGAATCCGATCTGAAATATCCGTCTACGATCCGGGTAAATTCGGTCCGAAAAATGAAAATTCGATCCGATATTTTAGTTTTTAAATATTTCGAATCGGATACCCAAGAAAAATCAGATCGGATAAGGATTCAAATTCTGGAATTTTTCAGATAATCGGATATCTAAATTTTTTGCTATATGTTTAATGAAATTTTATGGGTATATATTTTGGCTATATGTTTCATGCAATTTTATGTTAATTTGGAACTCAAGCATTTTGAACTTTTTCCATTATCATTTTGGAACCCTTTGTTTTAGTATTGTTTTTTTGTTTGTTTAGCCAAATTACCAAAGTTACTCTCAAAATGAATTTAGTATTATTCTTTTTATTAGGCCATTACCTAGTGGTAGAATTTTGCTTTTAGTAAATCTATATTGAATTTGATATTGTGGGTTGATTTTGCTATTTTAGCCCTTTTTTGTAAATTTTGGCTAAAAAATTACTCCATCCATCCCATTTTAAATTACTTGTTTGCCTTTTTTCTCCATCCCAAAATAAGTTTCCTGTTAGTTGTTTTCGTAAACTTTTAAAAATAAAATATCTAAATTACCCCTAAAATAAGTTACTCTTCTTCACCTTATCTTCTCATAATCTCATTCATCATCACCTCTTCTAAAAATTAATGGCAATTTCGGAAAATCAACTTTATTTTTTATTTTCCTTAAACATGCCAAAAATCAAAACAGACGATTTAAATTGGGACATAAGGAGTATCTTTTTGGATAATCCAATGATTCGATCTGAAAATTTGGATATTCGAATCTCGGATATTCAAAAATGTTCGGATCGGATATGAAATGAGCTTTACATGATTCGAAATTTTTGGATATCTGAATTTTCAGATCGGATCAGATCAATCCGATTGAACACTCCTAACAGTTACAATGTGACAATGTAGCAATGCCAGTAAAAACTTTTATTTTAGTCTTGCTAAATTTATGAATTTTATTTTGATATTTTCATTTCGTGTTCTCCCCGTTAAAGAAATGACTCCGGCCAAAAAGTTAAGGCAGGCAAGAAAGAGCACCGCCCTGTAGAACATTTGACTGACGACAATCCGTCTATGGCACCTCCTTCGATTTCAGCTTTTCACGGGGATTAACAGTGCATCCGCCATTCACGCCCCTCTCTCTCTCTCTCTCATTCATTCCCAGGATCACCACAGGACCATTTCCCCTTTCCCCACAACTTCCTCCAGCAAACCCTTCCCTTCTCTCTCTCTCGATCTCTTCCTCAAATGTTCATTTTCTTGCTGTTTCTCCATCTGTAATCTGTTTGACAAAATTCCCCAGAGAAAGATTTCTCTCGCTTTCCCAAAATTTTGGCGTTCTTGGAATAAAGTTCGGTTCTTTCCATGAAATCCTTGCGTCTTCGTGTGTGAGATTCTTGATTTGCCTCCTTTTTTTCTTCTTCTTTCTTTCTTCTGTTGATGTCATTGGGTGGTGGGGTGGCTTCGGGCTCGGAGGCCATGGGGTTTGATGAGAAGAAGGGGGAGGAGGAAGAGGAGATCACGCCGGGTTCCGAGGCTTACAAGGTTACAGATTCGGATGCCGAGACGGACAGTGAAGCACCAGTTGCAGGGCGGCATATGAGCCAGAGTTCCATGTACACCACTGAGGATGAGGAGGAAGATGACCCTGCAAATAAGATTCAGTTGGGTCCTCAGGTCACTCTCAAAGAACAATACGAGAAGGACAAGGTGTGTTTTTTTTCTTATTGTTCTCTAAGAAATCTACCTAAATCCCTCCTATGATTCAAAGTGTTGGCATATTGTCAAGCACCCACAATTTGGTATTGTGTGTTGGCATTAAAGGTCCTACTTTTGTTTTGGTAAATGGATCATATTTTAGACCTAGGTAGTATTTGTTCCTTCTTGTTTTCTCTTGATTATTGTATTTCCTTGTCTTTTTTTATCTGAATTTTTATGACTTTCATTTTGTGAGATTCAGGATGATGAGAGCTTGAGAAGGTGGAAGGAACAACTTCTTGGTAGTGTGGACATCAATGCTGTTGGAGGTATGTATTGGTGAAATTTTCCCATTATGGTACAAAAAGTCTTATTGACTTAGTGATATCTGTAGTAATGACATGAAATGGAGTTCTATTGAAGGATGAAAGGGTCAATATTGAGAGCTATGATATGTAAAGAATAATGTCCACAAGAGGATGGATTATTACAGTTTTGGATGCTTAGAACATGAAAAACATGGTTTTGGACATTTGGAAGTGTCACAAAGTGATGTTAAAACTTAAAACCACAGGAGAATGGATTTTTTAAAATGGATTAATGTTGTTTAGAATTTTAGATAGCACTCATAAGAACAAAAACAAGAAGCCGTTTAGCTTTGGTGCTGAAAGAATGATTCTATTGATTGTGTAGATTCTCATCCATTTATGTTGTTGATTCTGCTTCTTTTTTTAGAGGCAAACTCCTTGATTCTCCAAAACCAGCTAATCCTGGAAAGCCAAATGAGCCCTAAATGTCAAAACATCTTTTTTTTTTTTTTTGGGTGTATTCAATCCGTAGATTTAATTTCAACTAAAAAAACTGAAATTCATGTGAATGCAGAATCACTGGATGCAGAAGTGAAGATACTGAGCCTTACGATCCAATCTCCAGGCAGAGAAGATATTGTCCTCCCAATCCCAGAGGGTGGTAATCCTCGTAGCCCATGGTTCACATTGAAAGAAGGAAGCCGCTACCGCCTCAAATTCGCATTCCAGGTCACCAACAACATAGTTTCTGGTCTGAAATACACAAACACAGTCTGGAAAACTGGCATCAGAGGTTCTTATCTTAAATTTAAACATCTCCCCCCTCTCTATACATTCTTATCTTAAATGGTCAGTTTTAACTGATATTAACGAATGGTATTTTTTTCAGTGGATGGATCGAAAGAAATGATTGGGACGTTTAGTCCCCAAATAGAGCATTATACTCATGAAATGCCTGAAGAGACTACTCCTTCTGGCATGTTGGCAAGGGGGTCTTACTCTGCAAGGACCAAGGCAAGTTTCTTGAAAAATTTTGTTATCAGTCCCTGAGATTTATCTTCTTTTACATTCTAGTCCCCCCTCACACAAGTCTCACGTATTTGATGTTCAACGCGCAGTTCCTGGATGATGACAATAAGTGCCACCTGGAGATCAACTATACATTTGAGATCAAGAAAGAGTGGCCGGCAACATAGTTTTGATGATGAATAGTCTATCTTGTGGAAGTCGCAATTGTTGCCCGAGACTTCTTTCTTTTCTTGCTCAGTTGGTAGTTGAATTATGTCTGTCTTTTCCACTGGTTTTTCTTGTTAGGGGTTGCAGAATTTGATGGCAAGTCATGTCCTTGGTTGTTTTGATCAATAAAGACAGTTTTGGACATCCACAGTTTGTTAAAATCTTCATTTTCAGTCTTTAAAGGGTGAGTTGATCTAGAATGGATGATCAAAATGTTTTTGAGTGAGAACTCCCAAAGAGACTTTAACATTTTCAAAGTGAGTATACAATTAATATTACTCCCTTCGTTCATTAATTTAAAGGCAATATATGAAAAGACATTACACTTTTTTAATTTTTTAAATCTTCGTGCCAAATCCAAACCGGAAAAAAAATTGAACAAAATGAGTATCATAACTATCATTTATTCATTTTTGAGTGCTATTGACTCAATTACATTGGTTGTAATGTTATTTAGGTTTGTAAAGTATGAAAAGCAACAAATCTAACTTGAAGATATTGGGTTGTTTATGATATTTTAAAACAGCCCTTTGTTGTGGCATTCGGGTTACAATCCAACCATGACAATGTGGCTCGATTGGATAGAAAATATTGAACATTTTACTTCATTCTACATAAGGGCACCATGATAAGTCTTTCCTCATTTCCGGTTAAGGAACATTGCCCTGATGTGCATGGAGGACTTCTACAAGCTAATTGATCCATACACTTCCCTTTTGAAGTACACTAATGGTGGACACACAAAAGTCATAATTTCAAGAGGAAAAGGCACTCTTAATTAACATGAAATGATCACATTGCACACACTTGAAAGCAGGAAACCAGCACTCTATAACCAACATATATGGATTATACTTCAACATACAGAATTGAGAGCCCAATGAGTAGAAACACCAAATGAAACCAATTCTTCAATAACTTTGTTTAAATATCAACTAAGCCAAATAATATCAAAATGCTAGTAGAAAAACAGCATACTAAACTGCACTAAACCAAACGAGCAGAGCATTTCGGACTCAAGATGCACAAGAACCATATCTCTACAATCAATGGGTAGATAACTTCATGGCTAATGGGAATATAAAAAACTTGGCATTCAAATATGATGTTTTGATTGAACAGAAGAGTAGAGAAAAGCAAGAGAATCAAAAACAAGTTTGAAGTTTCAGTATTAGAGATATTCAAGAGGTACTGATTTCTTCCTCTAAAAGACCAAAGCATGAGGTTTCATGCCATCCTTGAGAGAAAATCTTGCACCCAAATAAGTCTTCAAATCTGGCACTGATTCAATGGCCTTAAGCAAAACTCCATCAACAGCCTTCTGGTCATCCTTCTTCTCTTGCGGCAACACATTCTTCTCCTGCAATTATCATTACAATCATGAATGTAGCCACGTTGGGAAAGAAGATTCATTGTAGAAATGAAGATAATTAAAGAGGAGAAATAAAAGAACCTCTTTTTGGGATTCAAAGAACTCTTCTTCGGTCTTCTTCTTCTTCTTTTCTGCCTTCTTAGCGAAGTACTTGTCGTCAATCTTCTCCAAGCTAACACCAGAAATGTCAACCTTGGTGGAAGTTGCGATCACATAAGCCTGATTCACGCGCCTGAGAGGAACGCCGTTGATCCTGAGCGGACCGGTGATGAGGAGGAGTCCGGAGGAGAGTTGCTTTAAGAACACAACCCTCTTGCCCTTGAATCGCCCGGCGAGGATGATCAGAACAGTGCCGGGAGTGATACTGGACCGGAGCTTGGTCGGCTTGGGCTTCCGCCTGTTGGCGAGCGGCACCTTGACATCGTCGGCGGGGTAAAACTTCGGCGGCTTCTCGGGCGCCGGCGCCGCGGCGGGCTTCTTCTCGTGATGAGGGAATTTCCCACCGTTTTTGGCCTTGATTGCCCAGAGACCCCTCTTGTGGTACATCTTCGACCTTGAGTAGGTGCCGATGCCCCTGATTAGCTCGGGATTCCGGGGTGTCTTCTTGGCCGCCATTGGAGAGTTGCTACGAGCTCAGCTTCAGCAAGGTGATGCGAAAAAAACCCTAAACCTAAAAATGAACAACGCCGAATATAAAAATATCTGACGCTATATAAGTGTGTGTCTTCCCCTCCAATTGGTTATAAGCCCAGCCCGTTAAGCTTTGTCTTGCACTTGCACATTTACCATTTGCCCCTATCAATCAAAATAAATGGGCTTGGAAGGGCCGGATAGTCAAAGTATATTTTTACAAAAACTACTCCCCCCGTCTCAATTTATATCATCGTTTCGGTTTATGATTTTTGACTAAAACTATATTCAAATTATTTTATATGAAAAATAGTATAGAACTAAAAAATAAAATTATATGTTAAAATATTACGTCAAAAGATCTACAAAACTAGTAATGACATGATTATGTAATTTTATCAAATGACTACTAAAAAAGAGAAAGAAAGAGAATGGTGTTTGACCTCAGGTAATTTAATTTGGGACGGAGTGATTTGATCATAATGTCTCCGGAAAAAATGGAAAACCAACATAAAAAATGGGAAAAATAACTCAATTAAGACTAAAAAAACATAGGAAAAGTACTAAAATATAAACTCTATTTTATCTTTAAAATAGGACTAAAAAATACAAAAAATGTCACTATATATTATCATAATATCACAATGCAAATTCTTATTTTGGGATAAAAACATACAAATTTTCTTTTTAGGATAAATGATACGGAGTATGTTTTACTTCTACATTGATTGATTTCTTGTAAGAAGTACTCCACAATCATAAATTTGAATTGATTTTGATTGTACATTCATGTAGGAAGACACTTCTACCTCGAACTGGATGAAAAAAAGCAACAAGCTGTGTCGTTAGCTATGTTCAAATAAAATCAATTGATACCAAATTAGAATTTATTCTAATTAGATAAGAATCATTTATTTAAAGTATATAAATAGGGAGCATTTTATGGAGCACTTTATAAAATGTTCAAAAATGGCGTTGCCAAACATAGAAAAATGATTGCTACATCCCTCCATAATTACGCTATTAGCTACCTCGGGGAAAATTGTACCGCCATGAAAATCCAAAAATGAACTCCAATTTATCAACCTTCCTAAAGCCCGCAATCGCATTCACGGTCACCGTCAGCTTCACCGTTCTCTTCATCGTGTTCCCTCGCCCGCCGGCCACAGCATATCCCGGCGAAGCCGACCCGATGGCCCGAAGCTCCTCCTCCTCCTTCATCCTGTGGCTCCACGGGTTGGGCGATTCGGGACCCGCCAACGAACCCATCAGGAATCTCTTCACTTCTCCGGAGTTCAAAAACACCAAGTGGTCGTTTCCTTCCGCGCCTAATAACTCCGTCACCTGTAACCGTAAGTCCCCGCCGCCAATTTCTTCCCTATAAGTTTCTTCAGTTCGAATTTCTATGCATATATTTTGTATTTGTGATGCGTTGACAGAGTGGGATTGATATTTGGTCTAGGAAATGAAGCTGATTTAGTAAGAATCGTTTAATGGAATCGAATTGGGAATTGTGCAATGTAATGGAAATCAAAGGTTGGAGTCTTGGAGAAGTGCCTTAGCATTAGGTTTCTGGCATTACAGGGTACTTTGAGAAGAAAAATTCCACCTGCTAAGCATATACTTACAGATGCAAAATCTGTCTTCCTGCCATTAAATCAATTGTCCCGATTGAAATCATTTCTGGACTAAGTTAATTATTGGCTGTTTACATAATCTTCAGATTTTTTGTGCAAAAATTAAAATTAGGTCACTACAATTTGTAGTATAGTGGTTATCTTTAGGTCTTCAGAAAGATTTCTTCAGAGCACTTATATTTAGTTTCTTATGATGTTAACTGTAATTGAGCAAATAGGACAACTCTTTATCTGCACCCTGTAAAACAAATCAACTTACCGGTGAGATTTTGCCGGATACGTTATGCATCTCATATTTTTTTGTGTGGTTTAGACGGTGCTGTGATGCCATCATGGTTTGACATCCACGAAATACCCGTGTCTGCTGTAAGTTTCTATTTCATCTTAAAGCCAACTTTTGCACTTAACCCATGTCTTGTCTTGCTTTTGTGATGGTTATTTTTGAACACCTATGAATCTTCAACACAATTGTCTTTGAATATTAGAGATAAGTTGTTAAGTAGTGTATGTAGTTCAAACAAAAAGATCAATACTTCGTGGCAGTAAGTTTGTTTTTGATATGAGTGAAGATCACCTGTATATTTCTATAGATCAATTAATTATTTTTTCTACCAATATGTTCTACATATTAAAATATTTTTTGAAAAACATATCTGTATTTTGAACAATCATGCATAAATATATTTCTAAATATTTAAACTATAAAATCTTCTCTCTCTATTTTTATAGATTACGGTTGTTCTTAATCTAATGACTGATTGTTTACAACAACAACAAACATAGTAAAATCCCACAAGACACTAACGTCTGGGAAGAGTAGGATGTATACGCATACCTTACCCATAAGTGGAAATAGAGATTTAGAGAGGTGATTGTTTACAACATAAATTTACTCTAAATTATTTAAAGCTGGTTTGTTTGAGTTAATGAAGCTGCACTTTTGTTAAAAAAATACAGCATAATTTTTTTAAATTTTATTAATGCTCCGGGATATAAGTTTGTGCCTAACATAATTCGTGATACTCCCTCCGTCCATATCTTTCTTCCCATTGCGCAAAATGAAGGAAAACCCCAAGATTTTACAATCTATTTTTTAAATATTGGTTTAGAAATAAAAATTAATATTTACATATTTAAAAACTACATCAAAAGTTCAATAAAACAAGTGGTGACAAGAATATTTTATTTTATCATATCGGCCATGAAAAAATGCAAATAAATAAAAGTTCCCGTAAAGTTGGAATAGTGCTCTGGGAAGAAAGATATGGGACGGAGGGAGTATGTGTTTACGTGTTTAATATTGATGTCATTGTCCTTTTTCGTGAAATATGTTTATACCAAAATACAGTGTCAAAATTATCTCCCTAAATTGACTGCCAACGGTTTGCTTTCTGTTTACTCCGTATTTATTTATTTCTGCGGGTGGTATGCATTTGCCAATGACAATCTTTAGGCTTTAGATGATTTGCTTGATGTTGAACATTGAAATCCATTGATAATTTTCTTGTAACCATTAATAGAGCTCCCCAAAGGATGAAGGGAGTTTGCTCAAAGCAGTTCAGAAAGTTCATGCTATGATTGACAACGAGGTCACTCATGGTACAAATCCCAAGGACATATTTGTTTGTGGATTTAGCCAAGGAGGTATTCTCTCTCTCTCTCTCTCACGCACACACACACAGTCACACACACAGATGTAAATCTTTCCCCCAAACCACTCTTATCTTTCCTTCCCTTGATAAGAAAGATGGTGTTTATGCTTGGAGCATGGAAAATGTCAGGAAAAGAGAACGAGTACAAAGGAATATTATTTTCTAAACTCTATGTTTTGACCTTTACACACACTCTCCCTAAACTCTAATGTTGTGGGATTTTACTAAATTTGTTGATGTTGGTGTTGTTTTTGTTGTTTTTTTCTTGTGTATTAATAAATGAAAGTCGAGCATATATCGAAATTTGATTTATTGAGTTTGGGCCAATACTCATATTTTCTCTAAATCCTCTTTTTTCCAAATTTATTCTCTTTTCCTCCATATTTTCGTTCTCTGACGTTTTCAAAATTCCAACGGGATCCCAGCATTTTCCCAACAATTTCCCCCCAACGTATTCCAGCATCTAGATGAACCATTAAGAGCTTTAGATCATAAATTCTCTATTACATTTCTTTGATTCCTAAATTGGTGTTGTCACTTGTCATGGCTACACTATTTCTAAGACTAACACTCATGACTAAAATCTGTAGGTGCTTTGACCTTAGCAAGTGTTCTTTTATACCCAAAAACTCTAGGGGGAGGTGCTGTGTTTAGTGGATGGGTTCCTTTCAATGATTCTGCATTGGAGAATATAACACCTGAGGCAAAAAGGGTAAATTTATTTGACACATTAGTATTGAACATATACCCCCCCACTCCCTTCACATGTATTTACCAAAAGATCATGGTTCTTTTGACACCAGTACCACTGTAGCATTTTGGCCCAAAATGCTAGGGAGGATGGGGTGGGGGCAGGGGGGGTAGGACCCAATCCTGGGCCTGACAGAGCATTGTAGGGCCCCCAAATGGTTCAGGGTCATATTTCTGACACCGAGGACCGGTTTCAAAAGAATCAGCCTCTTACCAAAATTGTTCCTCAAAACCATACTCATTTTAAAATCATTTTTAGAAAGGTTAAAGAAAGACTCAGGGTAAATTGTGAAAATCTTAAAGAATTTAAAGATGGATTGAAAAGAAAAGGGGTAAATTTCACAAATGTTACCTGAACTTTAGCTGGAATTTCGAAGTGGTACCTGAACTTCAAATCCTTTCACAAAAATCCCTGAACTTACACAATCCTTTCACTAATGAGCCATTAGCCCGTTTCTAGGTTAACTTCCGGTCATTAGGGCCAAATTCGAATATTATATATTTTAAAATTTTCAATTTGACCCCATTTCTTCTTTTCTTTTCTTCCACGCCCTGCCGCCGCCGCCCGCCGGTCAAAGTCGCCGGAAAATGAACTTTTTCCGATTCCGGCGGGACCAATGTCATTCTCTTCGTCTTGAGACGAGGATCAATAATATCCAAACCATTTTGTCTAATTTGGCCTGTAACTTCTCGAATCTGAATTTTTCTACTCGAAAAAACCCTAAAATTCGAAATTGGATCCAAAATTGGGGGTTTTGCAAATCTTCATCAAATCTTGCAATTGAGGGGTCCTTGGAGGTCGCCCGGATGCCACGACCGCATTGG